GGGGGGGGGGGGAGAAAATCTAGAAACTGTGAGGTCCTTTCCCAAATCCCCCTTCCTCTCCCATGTGCCTTCAAGCGAAGGTACTTTTGTTACTTTGCACCTTCCTCACAATGCTGACAGAAAAAAGGTGAACCTTTCTGAACCCCGCTACTCTCCCCGGTCACTCCAGCCACCTTCAGGAGGTCCTTTCTACATAGACTTTTTCTTCCCTGCGGCTGATGAGAGAGGAGTGTAAAGGCGAGGGGGCTGTAAAATGTGCGCGCATTTGACTTCCACTATCTCCTACGTTCTCACTTCTCTCCTTACCCTCTTTCTTTATCAAGCGCGGCGGTGGCTGCTACCGTGGGCCGAGCACGCCTGTCTTCTCTCCCGGATTGGCTAAAGCAGTGACAGCTTGGATAGCGATTGTAGGAGCTGAAGCTCCACCCCCCTCATGATGGCCCTGGACCATTCATAAACTAAATAACTCCAGGAAACAGCAAGGCAGAGAGGGGCGAGAGGGGAGAGTGGGAGAGAAAGAGGGGAGAGAGAGAGAGAGAGAAACAGAGACAGCGAGAGGGAGGGAGACAGGGGGACAGAGAGAGGGAGGGAGGGGAGAGAGATTAGCAGGGGAGAGGGAAGGAGAGAGATTGGAGACCTCGGAGGGGAGGAGGGAGAGACGGCTCAGAAAGTGGAATCTGCACAAGCAACCTAAAGGGGGAGGAGAAGAAAAACCCTAGAATCGTTATAACTAAACCCCAGATGCGACGCAAGCAACGACTTCGTCACACTAAAACACATTTTGTGAGGGCCAAAATTATAAATTACGAAGCAGAAATGAGTATCAAACAACTGCCAGCGGTTTGCACCTAGAAAAAGACAAGAAGAACCCACTGCAAACAAACAGCCCCGTCCAAACAACGCGTCCAGGAGGAAAGAGGAACAGCGCCAGACCCGGCCGGGAAGCGAGCGGACGGGAGCCGGCGCCTGCACACCGCCCGGGCGCACGCCCGCACCTCGCTCTCGGGCTTTCGGCACAGCCTCCACCTCACGTCTGGGGAGGGCGAGGAAGAGGCACTCACCTAGGCTCAGGAAGAAGTCCTGCCAGCGTGGGAGAGAAGTTTAAGGATGAAACACTGAATGTTTCGCTTTTATTTTTTAAATTTACTTTGGCACTTAAAAGACCTCATTTCCAGATTTCTGGACAATCTCGGCTGCAGACGTCTAAGCTCAACCTCTTGGTAACCTGAATTTTTCTCACGGCCTCCCCCCC